ATTCAGCTGGAGTACAACGCCAGCAAATCGCAATTTGCGCAGAATTAAGTCAGACCTCTTGTCTAACACAAAATGGATAGCCATGATTGGGAGAAGCTAGAGAAAACAGTTCGTGATATTCGTGAAAACACAGTCACCGCGCGTTCGAGGGCCACCTACCAGAACTCATACTGCCGCTTCCTCGCTTGGATTATCCGCAACAAGCCGCATCTCGTGCCCAAGCCCTTCCTCGATGGCCTCGGTGACATATCAGAGTGCACGTTGCAGCAGCTGCGCTCTCGTATCAAAGATCTCGCTACGCAAAGACGCACTGTCATCCCGCTAGAGTTTGAGGCCTTAGATGCAGCTGATTTTGTCACATGGCTTGTGACGCTCGAGCGAAAGGATGGCTGTGCTCTAAGCTACTCTGCCCTAAACACTCACAGGGCGGGGTTGTTTAACTTGTTTCGCGACTACGGCCGTACCATGACCAAGAATTTAGACTCCGAGCTGACAAACTACTTTAAAGGACTCAAGCATAAACTTGCCAAGGACGCAGCGAACGGCGAGAGCTCTGTCAAGACTGGTAAGGACCCACTCATGTTTGATCTGTACTCTTTCTTGTGCAAAGAGATGCTCTCTCACTCGGGGAAGGAGATGGCATTTGCTCACGCGTACATGGTGATTGCGTGGAACCTAATGTGTCGGTCGTCTAATGCTTTTGGCATTCGCCATTCACACATGGAATGGAGGGGTGATGCACTGCAGATTTACTTCGCGCATATGAAGAATGATCAAGGAGGGGACCGACCGCGTGACCCGCGCCATATCTACGCGAACCCGCTACAACCAAGTATTTGTCCAATTGTGGCACTAGGTATATATTGGGCGGTTTCTAATTTTGGCGACGGCGATCTCCTTTTTCCTGGCAGTAACCAATACGAGCGATTTCGGAAGTGCTGGCTGCGTCTACTGGCGCAAGAGAGTGTCGCGACGGAATTGCAGCGCCAAGGGATTGTCGCTACTGAGCTGGGGACTCACTCTATGCGGAAAGGATCAGCGACGTTTTGTTCGTCAGGGTCAACGGCTTGTCCTTCATCAACGGCGGTTCATTTGCGAGCCGGCTGGTCGCTTGGAGGTGTTCAAAACACCTACCTCCGATATGAAGCTGCTGGCGACATGCATGTCCGCGTCTTTCGCTACTTTGAAGACTTTACAAAGATAGTGGAAGAGAACGGCCTACAGGGTCTGATTGGCAAAACAGACCCGTCTCTACAAGGATACAGAGATCGTATGAAGGCCAGGTGTCGCCTGCTGATCGAGAATCTTCAGCCTGCTATTTTAAAAGAACATATCCAGCGTCTAGTTGAGTTGGAGCGCCGAGATTGCAAGACAGATGACGTGGCGCTATTCAATCTCATACTAGAGCATGCCAAAGCGCAACAGCGTTTTCATCGCCTCACCAAGGAGAGCGGTTCGTCGCGTAGCTCCCAGCGTCAGCCCGTTTCCAGCACAACTGGCGCGTCAGGACCAAAACTGAGCACCAAGGCTGGTAAGGATGGACGACGCCGCGATATTACAGCTAGTACCGAGAGGAGCAAAGGCTCCCCGAAGCCTGCCAAGGCCGCGACACCGCCTGTGGACGGTTGCCTAGTTTGCCATGGCCCCCATTGGATGCGTGCGTACCCTACAGCCACAGCTGCGCAGCGTGAAGAAGCTCTAGCCCGCTATCGCGCTGCCAAGGACTCGAGCAGCACTGTGGTCCGCTCGAAGGTTGTTAAAGGCCGTGAAAGCGCAAACACTGTGAAGATTAATAACCTTCTTGACGTCATGTTCATTCAAGACACGGGTGCTGAGCGACGTGTGATCCCAAGTTGTGCGGTACACTCTTTACTGGGCCTCCAGTCTGACCTGCGCATTCAACGCTTGGACGTCCCAGTGGAAGTAGTGGTTGCTGACGGCCGACGACTAGAATGCGACTGTACGGTGGAAGTGGATCTCAAACTGAACACTTGTTGCAGGTGTGGTGAACGTGCCATCTGTCACATGTGTGGTTATGGACAGCGAAGAAGAAGAGCTTTTACCAGGCAAGGACACCCTAAATGAGCTGGGTATCAATGTGGACGACATGCTGGCTCAATTAGCCAATGGGGCTGACTTCGTGGATGACAGTGACGACTATGAGGTGGGAGATACCTCGCAGGATCACCAACTGGCTAAGGACGCACAGGGCAGCATTAATGCGATGGTCGCTGACGCCGCTGCTAATGGCATGGCCGCCGAACAAGTTGAAGAATTGCATGGCGTTCTAAACCAGTATCCAGATATATGGCAAGATAGTCTGAGTGACGGTCCTCCCGCTAAGGTGGAACCGCTGCGCATTCAGCTAAAGGAAGGCACCACTCCAATTCGCTGCAAGCAACGCAAGTACGCACCCCTGCAGCGGCAGTTTATTCGTGAGCACGTGGCGCAGCTTGCCAAGAATGGACTTGTGAAGGAGAACAGGTCGGCACGCTGGGCAAGCGCGGTCGTCCCTGTTCGCAAACCAGGATCCAAAGATGAATTTCGCCTCACCATCGATTACCGTGCTGTTAATCAAGCCACGGTGCCAATTGCTGGTACCATGCCTGATGTAGCAGCAGTGATGAACAACGTGAATTGTGCTGTAGCCATGGCTAACTTTGACATGAAGAGCGGATTCTGGCAGTTGCCGCTCTCAGAAGAGAGCCAGGAGGTGCTGTCATTTATGACAGATGAAGGTGTGTATACACCAACACGGGTCCCTCAAGGTGCAATGGACTCAGCACTCCATTTCCAGGGTCAAATGCAGCGCGTCTTGGCCGACTTGATTCCCAACAATGCACAGGTGTGGATCGACGATGTGCTTTTATATGCTAAGACGATGGACGAGTTTATTGATGTCCTGCGACGATTCTTTATGCTGCTACACAGGCACAACATTAAGCTCAACGCGAAGAAGAGCGTCATTTTCAAGCGTGAGGTGACATGGTGTGGTCGCGTTATCTCTGGCGATGGTGTTCGTCATGATCCGCGCCTGCCATTGATCGGCTCGAACGGTCTTACTGTTAGCGCCCTAGAAGCGAGGCTTGGAGCAGGACTCTCTCGCGTCTCCTTCTTACGCCACGAGAGCAAATCTTCTGTTGGGATCTTAACAAATAGTAAAGTTTGTCAGATTTAAAAAAAATTAAGCTCGAGCTAGTAATTGCCTCCACAACCAAGAATGAATATGCCAAACGAAACTCGTCGGGTTCGTTCTCCACGCGTTATAAATGTAGTATAATGTGCTTTTCATGCACTTCCTGTCATCAACGTGGCGATCCATGTGCTCCAAACCATCGACAGTTTTTAGAGCAGCATTCTCGACATGTCGAACCAGCTTACCCAAATCTTCACTGGAAAACACTATTTTAGAAATACCCCCCGCAAGATTGAATATATGTAGCCACTCGTTGTGGTCCTTCAAACTTAATGCATCGTCCACGCCCTGGCACTCCGTTTTTTGGGCTACGAATTAAAGTATAGTGTAAAACGTAAAGTTTATCGTGTGTCCTTTTGATGTGTTTTCAAATCTTTGAAATGAACTTCTTTTGTTTTTTTGAAACCGTTGCAGGCCAGGATTATTTACATGGAAGCGCACATGCTATTAATCATGTCCCTCGTCCATGATAAAAATTAAATACATTACCCGCTCTCCTTATTTCCGAAATGGATATATCGAAAGGCATTTCATTTTATTTTGTGCCGCCCTCCAGGATAAGATGTCCCAGGAACGAGTTTACCGCAAATGCAACCGGCACTCGCGAACGGGCCAACAAACGTCGGCTCCTGCCCCGATAACGGAGTTTCGGACTTTTCCATTAACGCAGGGGGGGAGAGCAAGGGGGGGCCACC